GATGCGCAGGTCAAGGTACGCGGGCAGCGGGTGGAGCTTGGGGAGATTGAGCACCACGTGCGCGAGTGCATGCCGGAAGTAGGACGTATGGCAGTAGAAGTGATCATGCCGGGAGACGACAAAGACAAGGCGACGGTGGCTGTCTTTGTGGAACAGAAAGAGGAAGAGGTTTCCGATGGAGACGGCTCCTCTGCACGCGTTTTCTTCCCCTCCCAGGTGGACAGCCAGCTCAGCGAGCGGCTGCCTAGCTACATGGTACCCGGAGTCTACTTTTCAGTCGCGCAGCTTCCCATGACAACGTCGGGCAAGACGGACCGCAAGCGGCTGCGCGAGATTGGGGCTACATTCTCAGCCCAGCAGCTGGCGGAGCTGCGCACGCGCAGCCAGGGACCAAAGCGGCAGCCGTCGACAGACAAGGAGAAGGCAATGCAGCAGCTGTGGGCGCAGGTGCTCAACATCGACGCAGACAGCATCGGGCTGGACGACAGCTTCTTCCGCCTGGGCGGCGACTCGATCGCAGCCATGAAGCTGGTGGCCGAGGCACGCAAGCAGAATGTTCACCTTACCGTCGCAGCCACTTTCCAGCATCCCAGGCTCGTCGATTTGGCCGCTTGGGCTGGCGGAGTAGATCCAGCTGTGGCGCAGAGCATTGTGCCCTTCTCCCTTCTGAACATCAACTCCGACGTCGACACAGCACGTATCCAGGAGGAAGTCGCTGCTGGCTGCAACATAGACAAGGACCTGGTGGAAGACATCTACCCGTGCTCGCCGCTTCAGGAGGGCCTGATGTCGCTCACGTCAAAGCGGGCGGGTGACTATATTATGCAGAGTGTACTAGAGCTGTCAGTCAGCATGGATGAAAGCGCTCTACGGGCGGCGTGGGAGCAGGTTGTGAAGCAATCGATGATGCTACGCACGCGCATCGTGCAGCACAGCAGGTTGGGCCTTCTGCAGGTGGTGGTAGCAGGCGATATACAGTGGATGGAAGCAGACCATCTGGGAACGTACCTGGCAGAGGACAAAGCGGCGTCTATGCAGCCGGGCGACTGTCTGGCACGCTACGCTTTTGTCAAGGAGAGAGACGGTGGAAGGCGCTGGTTTGTGTGGACAATGCACCACGCTCTCTACGACGGCTGGTCTCTGCCTCGCATCCTGGGCGCTGTAGAGAAAGCATACAATGGTGGTGTTCTTGAAGAGCGGCCAGGCTTTAACGCTTTCGTCCAGTACCTTAGTCAGCAAGATCAGGAGGCCACTACCAACTACTGGCAGACTACACTCGCCGGCTGCGAGGCGACAATGTTCCCGCCACTTCCCCCATCAATACATCAGCCAGTGGCAAATGCAATGTTAGAGCACCAATGCCCGCCGCTCCCCAGGACAATGGCATCCGATACCACTACATCAACGCTGATCCGCGCGGCGTGGGCTATTGTTGCGGGTAACTACACCAGCTCAGACGACGTCGTCTTTGGCGCCACGGTGACGGGCCGCAACGCGCCGGTGGCAGGCATTGAGGATATAGTGGGCCCGGCAATTGCGACGGTGCCTGTGCGGGTGCGTTTACCAAGAGACTGGACCGTACCAGCCCTCCTTGCTGCTGTGCAACAACAGGCAACCGAGATGATCCCATACGAGCAGACAGGATTGCAGCGGATCGCCAAGATGGGAGCGGATGCGCAGCACGCCTGTGGCTTCCAGACGCTGCTGATAGTGCAGCCAGCTGATGACGGTCTAGAGAGCGACAAGTCACTAGGAAGATGGCAGACCAAGTCAGAGCTGCAGGACTTCACGACTTACGCACTGATGGTGCAGTGCACGCTAGCTACGGAGCGAGTGCAGATCACGGCCAGCTTTGATCCACAGATCATCGAGCAGTGGCAAGTGCAGAGGATGCTGGGCCAGCTTGGCTTCGTCGCGCAGCAGCTGGCGGAAGCCGGTGGCAAGACGACAGTTGCTGAGATTGATACGCTCACTCCCGAGGACAGACAACAGCTGTGGAAGTGGAATGGAGAGGTTCCTCCGGTGGTGGAGCGGTGCGTGCACGAGCTGTTTGTGGAGCAGGCGCGGGCACGACCTGACGCGGCGGCCATCTGCGCGTGGGACGGCGAGATGAAGTACGGCGAGCTGGACGAGCTGTCGTCCAGGCTGGCCGGCTACCTAGTGGGTTTGGGCGTCGGGCCCGAAGCCATTGTTCCTCTGTGCTTCGAGAAGTCGATGTGGACGGTGGTGGCCATGCTGGCAGTGCTCAAGGCTGGCGGCGCCTTCGCTCCCCTGGACCCAGAACACCCAGCAAGTCGGCACGAGGAGATCTTCCGGCAGACTGGCGCCAGAGTGGTGCTTGCTTCGGCACAGCACTCGACGCTCTGCAGCGGCGGCAACCGCACCGTCGTGGTGGTCAGCGAGGCTGCCATGCGTGAGCTGCCCAGCGAGGCCAGCGAGGCCAGCACAACCGACAAAAGGACGACAACTCGCACAAAGGCACAGCCAGACAACCCTGCCTATGTGCTGTTCACGTCTGGGAGCACGGGAAAGCCCAAGGGCGTGGTGATTGAGCACAGGGCAATATTGACCAGCTGCTTGGGTCACGGAAAAGCCTTTAACCTTACAAGCGACTCGCGCTTTCTCCAATTCTCTTCTTACACGTTCGACGTTAGCATTATCGAGATATGGACTATGCTTCTAGTGGGTGGCTGTACTTGCGTCCCATCAGAAAGCGACAAGAAAGATGATCTTTCGAAAGCAATAAATGCTCTGGACGCGAATTGGGCATTCCTCACGCCTACTGTTGCGAAGCTTCTCGATCCAGAGCGCATCCCGGGATTACAAAATCTTATCCTCGGAGCAGAACTTGTAACAGATCACGACTGGAACAGATGGAGCCCTTATGCCCGTCAGATAACTGCATATGGTCCTACTGAGTGTTGCGTTCTTTGCACTTTCTACTCCGGTACTCTTGGCTTTTACACAGGCTTGCTCGGCAAGTCTGTTGCGTCGGTCAGCTGGGTGGTGGACCCCAACGACCACAACAAGCTGGCTCCCCTGGGCGCCGTGGGTGAGCTGCTCGTTGAGGGACCGATCCTGGCGCGCGGCTACCTGAACGACGCAGAGAAGACGGCGGCCGCGTTCATCGACGACCCGGCCTGGCTGCTGGAGGGATGCGACCAGCACGCGGGCCGGCGCGGCCGGCTGTACAAGACCGGCGACCTGGTGCACTACGATGCAGACGGCAATCTAGTGTACGTCAACCGCAAAGATGCGCAGGTCAAGGTACGCGGGCAGCGGGTGGAGCTTGGGGAGATTGAGCACCACGTGCGCGAGTGCATGCCGGAAGTAGGACGTATGGCAGTAGAAGTGATCATGCCGGGAGACGACAAAGACAAGGCGACGGTGGCTGTCTTTGTGGAACAGAAAGAGGAAGAGGTTTCCGATGGAGACGGCTCCTCTGCACGCGTTTTCTTCCCCTCCCAGGTGGACAGCCAGCTCAGCGAGCGGCTGCCTAGCTACATGGTACCCGGAGTCTACTTTTCAGTCGCGCAGCTTCCCATGACAACGTCGGGCAAGACAGACCGCAAGCGGCTGCGCGAGATTGGGGCTACATTCTCAGCCCAGCAGCTGGCGGAGCTGCGCACGCGCAGCCAGGGACCAAAGCGGCAGCCGTCGACAGACAAGGAGAAGGCAATGCAGCAGCTGTGGGCGCAGGTGCTCAACATCGACGCAGACAGCATCGGGCTGGACGACAGCTTCTTCCGCCTGGGCGGCGACTCGATCGCAGCCATGAAGCTGGTGGCCGAGGCACGCAAGCAGAATGTTCCCCTTACCGTCGCAGCCACTTTCCAGCATCCCAGGCTCGTCGATTTGGCCGCTTGGGCTGGCGGAGTAGATCCAGCTGTGGCGCAGAGCATTGTGCCCTTCTCCCTTCTGAACATCAACTCCGACGTCGACACAGCACGTATCCAGGAGGAAGTCGCTGCTGGCTGCAACATAGACAAGGACCTGGTGGAAGACATCTACCCGTGCTCGCCGCTTCAGGAGGGCCTGATGTCGCTCACGTCAAAGCGGGCGGGTGACTATATTATGCAGAGTGTACTAGAGCTGTCAGTCAGCATGGATGAAAGCGCTCTACGGGCGGCGTGGGAGCAGGTTGTGAAGCAATCGATGATGCTACGCACGCGCATCGTGCAGCACAGCAGGTTGGGCCTTCTGCAGGTGGTGGTAGCAGGCGATATACAGTGGATGGAAGCAGACCATCTGGGAACGTACCTGGCAGAGGACAAAGCGGCGTCTATGCAGCCGGGCGACTGTCTGGCACGCTACGCTTTTGTCAAGGAGAGAGACGGTGGAAGGCGCTGGTTTGTGTGGACAATGCACCACGCTCTCTACGACGGCTGGTCTCTGCCTCGCATCCTGGGCGCTGTAGAGAAAGCATACAATGGTGGTGTTCTTGAAGAGCGGCCAGGCTTTAACGCTTTCGTCCAGTACCTTAGTCAGCAAGATCAGGAGGCCACTACCAACTACTGGCAGACTACACTCGCCGGCTGCGAGGCGACAATGTTCCCGCCACTTCCCCCATCAATACATCAGCCAGTGGCAAATGCAATGTTAGAGCACCAATGCCCGCCGCTCCCCAGGACAATGGCATCCGATACCACTACATCAACGCTGATCCGCGCGGCGTGGGCTATTGTTGCGGGTAACTACACCAGCTCAGACGACGTCGTCTTTGGCGCCACGGTGACGGGCCGCAACGCGCCGGTGGCAGGCATTGAGGATATAGTGGGCCCGGCAATTGCGACGGTGCCTGTGCGGGTGCGTTTACCAAGAGACTGGACCGTACCAGCCCTCCTTGCTGCTGTGCAACAACAGGCAACCGAGATGATCCCATACGAGCAGACAGGATTGCAGCGGATCGCCAAGATGGGAGCGGATGCGCAGCACGCCTGTGGCTTCCAGACGCTGCTGATAGTGCAGCCAGCTGATGACGGTCTAGAGAGCGACAAGTCACTAGGAAGATGGCAGACCAAGTCAGAGCTGCAGGACTTCACGACTTACGCACTGATGGTGCAGTGCACGCTAGCTACGGAGCGAGTGCAGATCACGGCCAGCTTTGATCCACAGGTCATCGAGCAGTGGCAAGTGCAGAGGATGCTGGGCCAGCTTGGCTTCGTCGCGCAGCAGCTGGCGGAAGCCGGTGGCAAGACGACAGTTGCTGAGATTGATACGCTCACTCCCGAGGACAGACAACAGCTGTGGAAGTGGAATGGAGAGGTTCCTCCGGTGGTGGAGCGGTGCGTGCACGAGCTGTTTGTGGAGCAGGCGCGGGCACGACCTGACGCGGCGGCCATCTGCGCGTGGGACGGCGAGATGAAGTACGGCGAGCTGGACGAGCTGTCGTCCAGGCTGGCCGGCTACCTAGTGGGTTTGGGCGTCGGGCCCGAAGCCATTGTTCCTCTGTGCTTCGAGAAGTCGATGTGGACGGTGGTGGCCATGCTGGCAGTGCTCAAGGCTGGCGGCGCCTTCGCTCCCCTGGACCCAGAACACCCAGCAAGTCGGCACGAGGAGATCTTCCGGCAGACTGGCGCCAGAGTGGTGCTTGCTTCGGCACAGCACTCGACGCTCTGCAGCGGCGGCAACCGCACCGTCGTGGTGGTCAGCAAGGCCTCTTTCGATAGACTGTCAAGCGCAAGCGACAAGGCCAACGTGATATCGAAGCCAAGTAGTATTGCGTACGTCATGTTCACTTCAGGCAGCACAGGAACACCCAAAGGAGTCGTCCTAGAACACAGAGCAATTTCAACAAGCTGTCTCACCCATGGAGAGGCGTTTGGCTTCTCGCCTAGCACTCGAAGCCTTCAGTTTGCTGCCTACACCTTTGACGCGTGCATCACGGAGATCATCACGGCCCTTTTGTTTGGCGCATGCATTTGCGTTCCCTCCGAGCTGGACAGACGCAACGACTTGTCGAACATTTCAAACACCTTGAAAGTAAGTTGGGCATTGCTTACGCCAACGGTTGCACGAACACTTGACCCCAAAACAATTCCATCGCTCAGAACCTTGGTACTTGGGGGTGAGCAGGTGAGCCGCGTTGACTGGGAAAGGTGGAGTCATCTTGAAAAGCAGATCAATACGTATGGTCCTACAGAATGCAGCGTTTGGTGCACATCACACTCTAATGTTGCTGGTTTCACGTCAGGAACGATTGGAAAGTTGATTGCTTCTGTGGGCTGGGTGGTGGACCCCAACGACCACAACAAGCTGGCTCCCCTGGGCGCCGTGGGTGAGCTGCTCGTTGAGGGACCGATCCTGGCGCGCGGCTACCTGAACGACGCAGAGAAGACGGCGGCCGCGTTCATCGACGACCCGGCCTGGCTGCTGGAGGGATGCGACCAGCACGCGGGCCGGCGCGGCCGGCTGTACAAGACCGGCGACCTCGTCTACTACAATGCAGACGGCAATCTAGTGTACGTCAACCGCAAAGATGCGCAGGTCAAGGTACGCGGGCAGCGGGTGGAGCTTGGGGAGATTGAGCACCACGTGCGCGAGTGCATGCCGGAAGTAGGACGTATGGCAGTAGAAGTGATCATGCCGGGAGACGACAAAGACAAGGCGACGGTGGCTGTCTTTGTGGAACAGAAAGAGGAAGAGGTTTCCGATGGAGACGGCTCCTCTGCACGCGTTTTCTTCCCCTCCCAGGTGGACAGCCAGCTCAGCGAGCGGCTGCCTAGCTACATGGTACCCGGAGTCTACTTTTCAGTCGCGCAGCTTCCCATGACAACGTCGGGTAAGACAGACCGCAAGCGGCTGCGCGAGATTGGGGCTACATTCTCAGCCCAGCAGCTGGCGGAGCTGCGCACGCGCAGCCAGGGACCAAAGCGGCAGCCGTCGACAGACAAGGAGAAGGCAATGCAGCAGCTGTGGGCGCAGGTGCTCAACATCGACGCAGACAGCATCGGGCTGGACGACAGCTTCTTCCGCCTGGGCGGCGACTCGATCACAGCCATGCAGGTCTCTTCGACCGCGCGGTCGCTCCAAATCTCAGTCACTACAGCCGATATCCTCGAACAGAAAACCATTTCCCGTTTGGCTCACCGCATGTCGCGGAATCACTTCTCTTCCAATCTTGTGATGGAAGACCCAGTGAACAGGCACTTTAGTCTGACGCCGATTCAGGAGCTATATCTCCGGCTCGAGAGCACTGGCAGCGCTTGCTTTGACCAGAGCTTTTTCCTAGAGCTCAGCAGCTTGACAAACCTCGAATCGCTGCGCGCAGCGTTCAAAACCCTTGTTCGACGGCATTCCATGCTCCGAGCTTTGTTCAGCCAGACGGCTGGAGGTAGGTGGCAGCAACATATATCCGATCGCGGTAGTGCCTCCTTTACGGTGGACTATGTGCGGTGCATCGACAGCAAGGACGTTAGTGAAGCGATCCGACAGAGCCGAGACGGGCTGGATGTACAGAATGGTCCTGTGCTGGCAGCAGTCCTGTGCGATCAGGGTCAGCGCCAACTGCTGTCTATCGCCATTCACCACTTGGTGATCGATCTGGTTTCGTGGCGTGTGCTTCTCGAAGAGTTGGAGGACCTGCTTCTCTCGCGGAAGCTTCCCGCTGTGCCCGCCGTCCCCTTTCAAGCCTGGCAGGCTCTCCAAACGGAACATGCTACCAAGCACAAATGCCCTAGTGGCGTGGCTCAAGACGAGGTGGCTTCTGGGGAGTCACTGTCCTACTGGGGCATAGAACCTGATGCTGTCAAACGCGGGAGTGTGGTATCGAAACAGTTTGCACTCAACGAACAGACAACCTCGGCCCTGCTCGGACCCTGCAACGATGTATTTCAGACGCGTCCTGTGGAGCTTATGCTTGCCGCTCTAGCTCATTCTTTTGCTATTGCCTTCTCCGACCGAGCTCCGCCCACCATCTTTAACGAGAGCCACGGCCGCGAGCCTTGGGATGCCGGCATTGATCTCTCTCGCACTGTGGGATGGTTCACGAGCATGCTCCCCATTCAGGTGCCGAGTCACACCAGAGGCGACCTGCTTGAGGTCATCCGGCACACCAAAGATGGCATGCGCAAGTTCCCTGACAACGGCCGATCCTATTTTGCCTCGCGGTTTGCCGATGCTGACACTTCGGATGTGTTCGCGTCCATGTTCCCTGTGGAAGTAATATTCAATTATCAAGGCGTGTACCAGCAGCTCGAGCGCACAGACTCGCTGTTCAAAACCCTGCCAGCTCCGGACGGATGTGAGCCAGCATCGATGTTAGAGGCCCCGAGGTTCGCTTTGTTCGACGTATCTGCGGTTGTCGAAAAGGGGCGCATGCACGTGACTGTTACAAGCGACAGCAAAGCGAAGCGCCAGCAGCAAGTAGCCAACTGGATCGAGCGCTACGAGATGGCCCTGGTTGAGATGGCGACTCTCCTGCAGAAGAAGCATAAGCAATGGACGCTGAGCGACCTGCCACTCGCGTTCAAAACCTACGAAGATCTGGACAGCTTCCAGAACGATACACTTGCAGAGCTTGGCGTCCAACCTGAAGAGGTCGAGGACGTCTTTCCGTGTCTGCCCATGCAGGAGGGGATCCTCATCAGCCAGAGCAGAGATCCAGATGCATATCGGGTATCGTCTATCTTTGAAGTCATACCGACGCAGCAAAACCAGGTCAATTGCACTCGGCTGCAGCAAGCTTGGGAGGCTGTGGTACGCCGGCATTCGCTATTGCGGGCACTGCTGGTCGATAACGTGCCTGGAAGTTTAGGAACCACGAACGTAGTGCTGAAAGATCCACAACCCAGCATATCATTCTTCCGAGCAGCGGGAGACACAGCAACTCTTGCCATGTTCCGCGCCCACCAGGACACTTTAGCTCAGCAAGACAGTGGCCTGCAGCATCGCATGTTCATTTGCCAGCTTGATAATGGAAAGGCCTATCTATGCCTAGATATTAACCACGCCATCTTTGACGCCCACTCTCGCGGCGTCATCTTGCGCGACTTGCAAAGTGCATACAGTGCCAACCTTAATCCAGACAGCGGGCGGTTCCGAGATGTCGTTTCGTATCTAACCCAACAGGAACAGGAGGAGACGCATGCTTACTGGGCAAGGTACCTTGATGGCGTCGAGCCATGCTTTTTCTCTTCGATGGCAGAGCCTCAAGATGTATGCTACAGAGATGGAACAGTGCATGTGCCTGACATTGACGCAAATGCCGTCCATACATTTTGCCAGACATGGGACATCACCATAGCTACTATCATACAGACAGCATGGGCCCTGGTCCTAAGCCGATACACTGGAGCGACGACCCCGTGCTTTGGAAATCTCTCCTCGAGACGGGACTTGCCGGTCGAGGATGTCGCCAATATCTTTGGCCCGCTTATTACAACGATTGCATGCAGAGTGCAGCTGGATGAACATAAGACTGTGATGGATGTGCTGAGGGCAGTGCAGAGCGACTATACAAACAGCCTGCCGCATCAGAACATCTCTCTCGCGAGCGTGCACAGCATGCTTGGGCTGGGGGCGAACGCTTTGTTCAACACAATCCTATCGCTTCAACGGATCGATGACACAATGGCTGTTAACGATTCTGAGATTGATTTCCGCGGTCAGAGCGGATCGGATCCGACTGAGGTGAGTTCATGTATGAGCGGTGATGCATGGCCCCTTACTAACCTGCTGGATGTAGTATGCTATTAACATAGGGGTTGGATACAATCGCTCTGTGATGGAGATCGAAATCCATTATCAGACCCGCTGCATTGACGATGCCCAAGCCGCCAATCTTGCAGAGAGCTTGAGCCAAGCGATCTATGGCATCATCACAAAAACGACATCCACGATAGGCGACCTGCAGATCCTCTCAAAGAGACAGCAGCAACAGCTGTGGAAGTGGAATGGAGAGGTTCCTCCGGTGGTGGAGCGGTGCGTGCACGAGCTGTTTGTGGAGCAGGCGCGGGCACGACCTGACGCGGCGGCCATCTGCGCGTGGGACGGCGAGATGAAGTACGGCGAGCTGGACGAGCTGTCGTCCAGGCTGGCCGGCTACCTAGTGGGTTTGGGCGTCGGGCCCGAAGCCATTGTTCCTCTGTGCTTCGAGAAGTCGATGTGGACGGTGGTGGCCATGCTGGCAGTGCTCAAGGCTGGCGGCGCCTTCGCTCCCCTGGACCCAGAACACCCAGCAAGTCGGCACGAGGAGATCTTCCGGCAGACTGGCGCCAGAGTGGTGCTTGCTTCGGCACAGCACTCGACGCTCTGCAGCGGCGGCAACCGCACCGTCGTGGTGGTCAGCGAGGCTGCCATGCGTGAGCTGCCCAGCGAGGCCAGCGAGGCCAGCACAACCGACAAAAGGACGACAACTCGCACAAAGGCACAGCCAGACAACCCTGCCTATGTGCTGTTCACGTCTGGGAGCACGGGAAAGCCCAAGGGCGTGGTGATTGAGCACAGGGCAATATTGACCAGCTGCTTGGGTCACGGAAAAGCCTTTAACCTTACAAGCGACTCGCGCTTTCTCCAATTCTCTTCTTACACGTTCGACGTTAGCATTATCGAGATATGGACTACGCTTCTAGTGGGTGGCTGTACTTGCGTCCCATCAGAAAGCGACAAGAAAGATGATCTTTCGAAAGCAATAAATGCTCTGGACGCGAATTGGGCATACCTCACGTCCACTGTTGCGAAGCTTCTCGATCCAGAGCGCATCCCGGGATTACAAAATCTTATCCTCGGAGCAGAACTTGTAACAGATCACGACTGGAACAGATGGAGCCCATATGCCCTTCAGATAACTGCATATGGTCCTACTGAGTGTTGCGTTCTTTGCATTTTCTACTCCGGTACTCTTGGCTTTTACACAGGCTTGCTCGGCAAGTCTGTTGCGTCGGTCAGCTGGGTGGTGGACCCCAACGACCACCACAAGCTGGCTCCCCTGGGCGCGGTGGGTGAGCTGCTCGTTGAGGGACCGATCCTGGCGCGCGGCTACCTGAACGACGCAGAGAAGACGGCGGCCGCGTTCATCGACGACCCGGCCTGGCTGCTGGAGGGATGCGACCAGCACGCGGGCCGGCGCGGCCGGCTGTACAAGACCGGCGACCTCGTCTACTACAATGCAGACGGCAATCTAGTGTACGTCAACCGCAAAGATGCGCAGGTCAAGGTACGCGGGCAGCGGGTGGAGCTTGGGGAGATTGAGCACCACGTGCGCGAGTGCATGCCGGAAGTAGGACGTATGGCAGTAGAAGTGATCATGCCGGGAGACGACAAAGACAAGGCGACGGTGGCTGTCTTTGTGGAACAGAAAGAGGAAGAGGTTTCCGATGGAGACGGCTCCTCTGCACGCGTTTTCTTCCCCTCCCAGGTGGACAGCCAGCTCAGCGAGCGGCTGCCTAGCTACATGGTACCCGGAGTCTACTTTTCAGTCGCGCAGCTTCCCATGACAACGTCGGGTAAGACAGACCGCAAGCGGCTGCGCGAGATTGGGGCTACATTCTCAGCCCAGCAGCTGGCGGAGCTGCGCACGCGCAGCCAGGGACCAAAGCGGCAGCCGTCGACAGACAAGGAGAAGGCAATGCAGCAGCTGTGGGCGCAGGTGCTCAACATCGACGCAGACAGCATCGGGCTGGACGACAGCTTCTTCCGCCTGGGCGGCGACTCGATCACAGCCATGCAGGTCTCTTCGACCGCGCGGTCGCTCCAAATCTCAGTCACTACAGCCGATATCCTCGAACAGAAAACCATTTCCCGTTTGGCTCACCGCATGTCGCGGAATCACTTCTCTTCCAATCTTGTGATGGAAGACCCAGTGAACAGGCACTTTAGTCTGACGCCGATTCAGGAGCTATATCTCCGGCTCGAGAGCACTGGCAGCGCTTGCTTTGACCAGAGCTTTTTCCTAGAGCTCAGCAGCTTGACAAACCTCGAATCGCTGCGCGCAGCGTTCAAAACCCTTGTTCGACGGCATTCCATGCTCCGAGCTTTGTTCAGCCAGACGGCTGGAGGTAGGTGGCAGCAACATATATCCGATCGCGGTAGTGCCTCCTTTACGGTGGACTATGTGCGGTGCATCGACAGCAAGGACGTTAGTGAAGCGATCCGACAGAGCCGAGACGGGCTGGATGTACAGAATGGTCCTGTGCTGGCAGCAGTCCTGTGCGATCAGGGTCAGCGCCAACTGCTGTTTATCGCCATTCACCACTTGGTGATCGATCTGGTTTCGTGGCGTGTGCTTCTCGAAGAGTTGGAGGACCTGCTTCTCTCGCGGAAGCTTCCCGCTGTGCCCGCCGTCCCCTTTCAAGCCTGGCAGGCTCTCCAAACGGAACATGCTACCAAGCACAAATGCCCTAGTGGCGTGGCTCAAGACGAGGTGGCTTCTGGGGAGTCACTGTCCTACTGGGGCATAGAACCTGATGCTGTCAAACGCGGGAGTGTGGTATCGAAACAGTTTGCACTCAACGAACAGACAACCTCGGCCCTGCTCGGACCCTGCAACGATGTATTTCAGACGCGTCCTGTGGAGCTTATGCTTGCCGCTCTAGCTCATTCTTTTGCTATTGCCTTCTCCGACCGAGCTCCGCCCACCATCTTTAACGAGAGCCACGGCCGCGAGCCTTGGGATGCCGGCATTGATCTCTCTCGCACTGTGGGATGGTTCACGAGCATGCTCCCCATTCAGGTGCCGAGTCACACCAGAGGCGACCTGCTTGAGGTCATCCGGCACACCAAAGATGGCATGCGCAAGTTCCCTGACAACGGCCGATCCTATTTTGCCTCGCGGTTTGCCGATGCTGACACTTCGGATGTGTTCGCGTCCATGTTCCCTGTGGAAGTAATATTCAATTATCAAGGCGTGTACCAGCAGCTCGAGCGCACAGACTCGCTGTTCAAAACCCTGCCAGCTCCGGACGGATGTGAGCCAGCATCGATGTTAGAGGCCCCGAGGTTCGCTTTGTTCGACGTATCTGCGGTTGTCGAAAAGGGGCGCATGCACGTGACTGTTACAAGCGACAGCAAAGCGAAGCGCCAGCAGCAAGTAGCCAACTGGATCGAGCGCTACGAGATGGCCCTGGTTGAGATGGCGACTCTCCTGCAGAAGAAGCATAAGCAATGGACGCTGAGCGACCTGCCACTCGCGTTCAAAACCTACGAAGATCTGGACAGCTTCCAGAACGATACACTTGCAGAGCTTGGCGTCCAACCTGAAGAGGTCGAGGACGTCTTTCCGTGTCTGCCCATGCAGGAGGGGATCCTCATCAGCCAGAGCAGAGATCCAGATGCATATCGGGTATCGTCTATCTTTGAAGTCATACCGACGCAGCAAAACCAGGTCAATTGCACTCGGCTGCAGCAAGCTTGGGAGGCTGTGGTACGCCGGCATTCGCTATTGCGGGCACTGCTGGTCGATAACGTGCCTGGAAGTTTAGGAACCACGAACGTAGTGCTGAAAGATCCACAACCCAGCATATCATTCTTCCGAGCAGCGGGAGACACAGCAACTCTTGCCATGTTCCGCGCCCACCAGGACACTTTAGCTCAGCAAGACAGTGGCCTGCAGCATCGCATGTTCATTTGCCAGCTTGATAATGGAAAGGCCTATCTATGCCTAGATATTAACCACGCCATCTTTGACGCCCACTCTCGCGGCGTCATCTTGCGCGACTTGCAAAGTGCATACAGTGCCAACCTTAATCCAGACAGCGGGCGGTTCCGAGATGTCGTTTCGTATCTAACCCAACAGGAACAGGAGGAGACGCATGCTTACTGGGCAAGGTACCTTGATGGCGTCGAGCCATGCTTTTTCTCTTCGATGGCAGAGCCTCAAGATGTATGCTACAGAGATGGAACAGTGCATGTGCCTGACATTGACGCAAATGCCGTCCATACATTTTGCCAGACATGGGACATCACCATAGCTACTATCATACAGACAGCATGGGCCCTGGTCCTAAGCCGATACACTGGAGCGACGACCCCGTGCTTTGGAAATCTCTCCTCGAGACGGGACTTGCCGGTCGAGGATGTCGCCAATATCTTTGGCCCGCTTATTACAACGATTGCATGCAGAGTGCAGCTGGATGAACATAAGACTGTGATGGATGTGCTGAGGGCAGTGCAGAGCGACTATACAAACAGCCTGCCGCATCAGAACATCTCTCTCGCGAGCGTGCACAGCATGCTTGGGCTGGGGGCGAACGCTTTGTTCAACACAATCCTATCGCTTCAACGGATCGATGACACAATGGCTGTTAACGATTCTGAGATTGATTTCCGCGGTCAGAGCGGATCGGATCCGACTGAGGTGAGTTCATGTATGAGCGGTGATGCATGGCCCCTTACTAACCTGCTGGATGTAGTATGCTATTAGCATAGGGGCTGGATACAATCGCTCTGTGATGGAGATCGAAATCCATTATCAGACCCGCTGCATTGACGATGCCCAAGCCGCCAATCTTGCAGAGAGCTTGAGCCAAGCGATCTATGGCATCATCACAAAAACGACATCCACGATAGGCGACCTACAGATCCTCTCAAAGAGACAGCAGCAACAGCTGTGGAAGTGGAATGGAGAGGTTCCTCCTCTCCAAGCAAGCTACATTCATGAGCTTGTATCAAAGCAAGCAAAGGATTGGCCAGAGTTATGCGCTATCTGCGGATGGGACGGTCAACTTACGTACAGGGAGCTCGACCAGCTATCCACGCAACTTTCTGTTCATCTGAGAGGAGCTGGGGTGAGCTCTGAGGTGCTGGTACCTATATGTTTCGAGAAGTCAATGTGGACGATTGTGGCTATGCTTGGTATTCTTAAGGCTGGCGGAGCCTTTGTACCAATTGATCCTACCCTTCCAAACAGCCGGAGAGAACACATCCTTGGGCGAATCAAGGCTAGGATTGCGCTAGCATCCGAGCAGTACTCGAAGTTGCTCCAGGGACCTGGAAGGACAGTATTCACTGTTAACAAGCCACTCTTGAACAGCCTAGAGACCCAAAACAGCGATACGGTCTTGACGGGAGGATCGGTCCGCTCAAGCGCCTATGTTATGTTCACGTCAGGCAGTACCGGTGAGCCAAAGGGCGTAGTGCTTGAGCATGGAACA